CATAGGGCAACATGTGTACTAACTGTTTAATGAGAAACTCTTTTGTTCTGTAAACCTTCATCTAAAGTGAGAAGAGCAGCACAATTGGAAGAGTGTAGTCGATGTCACTGAACTGTGCACGTAGAAATTGTTGAAATGGTGTCTTTGGCTATGTATATTTTCACCAAAAAAAAAAGGTCGAGAAGGGAGACGGTTGACATGTCGTGGGGTTGTTAACCAATGTCATAAAACAATATGTTTATTACTGTTTAATGAGAAACTATTTGTTCTGTAAACCTTCACCTGAAATATTAAAAAAAAAAAAAAAAGAGCACAATGGTCAAGGCAGACATTGTTTACTAGTTAACCTAAACTATTGTTTTATTTTAAGTCTTCAGGGGACATTTTTGATTTCAGATTTAAGGTTTAAAAATCATCTCAGGGCAAGTTTCAGGGGTTCACCCAGCCTCTGTGGCTCCAGAAAGTCTGAATTTCATGAGAATTTGAAATTCTTTTCTGCATTTTCTCCTTTTTGATTCTTCTATAGAATCTTTGATCAAAATGTTCTGTAATGGTAGCTGGGCACCATCCAGTTCTTCTGGTCTCATGGCAAAGGAGGCAGTTGTTCATTATTCCACCTCTTTTTAAAGTGGAAGCATCAGACATCACATATAGGCAGTACCCACCACACATATGACCACGCACAATATGTCACCCACAAAACACACCATGCCAGCCCCAGGCACAGGCATGTGTGTCCGATGGGCCCTGGCGGCAGCTACTGGACACAGCTCAGAGCAACTCCTTCCCTTATCCTCCCCCGACTTCACTGTGGGTTTCACAGTCAGGTCGGGTATATAATAACATATGATTTGACTGGGCTTTCACAGACCAAAGGACTGTGAGTCATGCTCTGGCATGTCCTCTGCTGTTTGTTGCTTTAGGAGCCATAGCATGGAGAACTATCCTGGTCAACTCTGCCTTCCAACACCTGCACAGGCCCTGACACAGTGAAGGTGGTTGCATTAAAGATGTGATCTCTGAGTCCAGGAAGGTCAGTATTCAGGTAGAGTGGGCCAATTTCATGACATTCTTAGATGGACAGAGTGCATGCACGCCCCAACTTAGCAGGTTACAGGGATTGCTGGGAGAAATACAAGGCCAAAGGGAGTGGGTGGTATACAGTGGCAAGAACACATTATCTCGAGAGCTTGTTCAAGTCATTCTCCATCCCTCAGGTTTCTTTTCTGTAAAAGGAGGAATGGTAATAATCCTAGCAGCCTCGTAACATTGCTGTGGGAATAAAAGAGCTTTATTCACAAATATGTGAGCTACTCTGTGAACGTTCTCTGTGCCTGAATGGCCTTGGCTGGCTCTGGAATGGCACCTTCTTCAGCTCTCTAGGGAACTTATAAATGTATGAACTGATAAGTGATTTACACTTTCAGGAACATTTGCATTTTAAAAGAGGAAGATTTAAAATGATGCATTTTAAGAGAGACTATAGAATGACGAGATTACATGCTCTCTGACTTATGAGGAGCCATTCACTGGCATCACTCCAGGGTGGAGGTAGCACCAAGAATGCCCCCTAATGCTAACTAGAATTCCAGAACCTAGAACTGGGACTTCTTCCCTCTCCCACCCTCGCAGAAGAAACAAAGTCAATCCATCTCCAGGCAAGCACCTAATCAATCATAGATTGCATCCTCACCTAGCACAGGGCACTTAGCTCTGCATATGGCACAACTAGGGTGTTCCAGGCAAGCTTGATGCCAGTTTGACACACACACCTGGCATGGTTGATGTCAGTCCCTTCCTTCAGTCCCTAAGCTCCAGGCCCAGAAGCGAAGAGGATGAGACAATGTGCTCTTCTTGAGTCATCCTGTCACCAGCCCCCAAGCACCTCTGGACACTTGCCCACTCCAAACTGCAGGCCACCAGACCCATCTGCGGTTCCAGTGGCTGATGGCCCAGCCCTGGTTAAGTATGACCAAGAGGGAGAGAAGATACGAAGAAAAGGGGAAAACTGGGGTGAGTTCAGTGAGGTCCCTGCCACTCCCTCTCACTTTCCTTTATGACCAATAACCACCACCACCACCACCACCGCCCGCCCCCACCAAAGGCACAACCAGGGCTTAGTGAGCCCTGAAGAGAGAGTCACGTATCACTCAGACATAAACATACCCATGCCACAAGCCCAGGGTACCCAGACACAGCACACACACCCATTATTGGCCTATGCAAAGAATGAGGAGTCTGGAGACAGAAGACCTGGTTTCCAGGCTTCGTCCCTCCTCTACAGCTGAAGGTCTTTGGGCCAGTCGTTTGACGACATCTTACTTCTCTCATCTGTAAAATGGGTTATCATGAGGGAGTGCAGGGTTGGCATGGGACTCCCCTGAGATAATGAACACGAAGCATTTGTAAGATGCAAAGCACGATTCACGCATTTCATAAGACACACATTCATTAGCTCGGTATATACCTAGGACTTACCATCCCCTGCCACCAGCTCCCTAAGGTTGACAGACACCTTACCAAGTGCTCTGAAGACCCCCTCACAGCTCATGGTACTGGGTGAGGCACACACACATTAATACACTGCATACTGTATAAATATAGGTTTTATTAATAATGGGTGAAATCCCACAAGTACAACTGGCATCTCTGTGTAAGGGAAGAATCCGTGGCAGGGTAAGGGAAGGTAGAGGGGTACGTGTACAGGAGTAAGGGGGAAAAAGAGCCCTGGGGGAGGGAAATCAGAAGTAGAATGAACCTGGACCCCACCAGGAAAGACAGACAAGCTCTAGGTGCGTCTGCCACCCTGGTGCTCAGGACATGTTGCTCTGATGTCCTGGGGCCACCTTGACTGAGGGGGGTGGGAGGCATGGAGGGGAGTTTCAGTGAGCAGCAAGGAGGCTGGGGAAGGAATGAAGGGGTGGGAATGCCAGCCTGGAGCACGAAAGGAGGGCCATGGGGTGGCGGTGGCCTAGGCCAACTTACGCCCATGCCTGTGCTTGTGTTGGGTCCTAAACTCCAGGGAGCTAGTGCCCTGTGCCACCCCTGGCTTGGGAGGGAGGGAAGACTGGGGAGTAGACACCTGCAGATCCTGGAGACACCCTGGGCAGCACCAGCCTTATCCTTAGAGACTCCAAAGTGGGGCCCCTCAGGAAGAGATTGGCATTGCCTTCCCTGCAGCACCCTCACCACCTTGCACCAGCATTCTCCCTCTGAGCTGCAGGGGATGGCCATTGTACACATGGCAGAGATTGCCTGTTCGCAGAGTAAGTGCCTGTAACCTGGAGAGGGAGGGAGCATTGCAGACATTGCTTCAGGAGCAGCTAAGAAGGAGGGCTGGTTCTTGCCCCCCTCACCCTGCGCCCAGAATAAAGTGCATTTGCCAGTTCCAGTGGCAGGTGGAAGAGAAACAGACATTATTGCAGAGGTGCCACCAGGCCCTACCTCCCACTAAAGGAGATGGGGAGGGGAGACAGGGGCATCCCATGGCCCCAGTCCTGTCTGATCCCCAGGACTGAGAGGGGGGACCAAGACAGAAAACCCAGCTTCTGTCCCAGCAGATTGTCCAAATCAGCCAGGGTCTGGGGGTGGGGACAAGGTGAGGAGGAGGAGGAAGAGACTTCCAGAGTCCTTCCCTGCTCCGTTTCAGTGTCCATAATGGGACTTCTGGGAGACTCCATCAGGGCCCAGCCCTGGAACCCCAACCTTACAGCAGCCCAGTTTACAAACACTTGTGTGGTGGGGATCCCCAGAGGGGACCACTTTGGTCAGTTGTAAGTGGGGCCTGGAGAGCCTGGAGCACCCAGGCAGACAACAGAGGAGGGTGCCAAGAGCAGGAAGAGGGTGGCAGCCTCCTAGTGGTCTTTGCATGCAGGTGTTGGAGAGAAGAGGGAGGAAGCTACAAACTGCATCAACTTGGGAAAAACCCCAGGCACGTGGTAAGGGAGGCTGGAGCCCCCACCCCCAGGGCCAGGGCTAGGAGCGCAGTCCATCAGCCAGCCTGTGGAGGAGCCGAGGGAGGGGAGGGTGGCTGCACCAGCAACCAGTGCCCAAGTCTACAAGGTTAAAACAGTCCCAAAGGGCTGGGGCTGGGGGCTTTCTGCTGCGGGGGCTGGGGCGCAGGCCAGGCACAAGGCTCTATCTCTCTGACTTGATCCGGTAACGGAGCACGAGATATGCCAGCAGCCGTAGGGCCAGGAAGAAGATGCCCAGGACCACGAAGTCCATGTAGAGCTTGGCATCTTCTACATCTAGTGCTCGGAGGATGCTCTGTGGCTCCTGGAATGGGCAGCGTTCCTCTGAGCATGTCAGGTCTCCTCGCTCCATGCCATAAATTGTCAGGATCACTCCCTCAAAGCCATACCTATGGACACAGGGGCATCAGAGCAGGATACAGGGCACAGGGACCCCCTTCCTGGGAAATTGCCAGAGCCCAGCTGCAATGTTCTTGTTCCTGGGGGCCAGCCAGGGTACTCTGCCCAAAGTATAGTAGGGCAGGTACCAGATTTGGCACAGCTCAGGAAGACCTGGGTATGGCCCCCTGTGGGGAGAAGCAGGGACAGATGGTGAGGGAAAGCATGCTGACCTGACATAGGAGAGGTAGGAGCTCCATTGCAGGTAAGTGGGGATGGTCTTGAAGGTGACAAAGAAGCCGGAGAACAAGAGAACAGGGATGGCGGTAACCGGTCCCACAAAGGTGGCCACCTGGGCGGAGTGGAGGGAGACCCAGTTGTCATAGGGGTAACCACACAGACCCAGGACTGGGGTGACCCTACTGTTTCCCTGTAGGTCCACCCCTCCCCTTATGGCTAGCCCCTGATTCCTGCCATGAGACCCCATCCCCTTTCAGGGCCCCTCCCACCTGCAGGGAATTGGAGGCAGCTCCAATTAGCAGCCCCAAAGACTGGGCCACCAAGGCGGTGGCTGTGGCCAGGGCTGAGAAGAGTAGGAAGCGGCTGGTCTCAGCTGGCTGGCCTGTCATCCAGTACACGATGCTGCAGTACACTGCTGGGCACACCACCTGGGGAGCAGGCACAGGGCTGGGCATGGACTGGCTGGAGGGCCAGACGTAGAGAAGAGCACAGTGGCCAAGACCCTCCACCCTATCCACCCAGGCAGGAACGTCTAGAACCCCGATTCCCAGAGTGTACCTGCCTCCACACTGCTTAATGCTATCACCCCAGACTGACACATGGCCCGTTCCTCCTGACTACATGAACCTCCTTCATCTTTTAGTCCCACTTCTTCCATTAGGCCCACTCTGACCAGTTCAGGTACAGTGACTTCTTCCCCCAAGCTCCTTCCCATCTGTACCGGCTGATTCCTTATGTTGCTAATGAATTAACTCTACATATGAGGGTGTTGGGCTCATCCTGTGAGACTATCAATGAGTGGAGGGCAGGGACTAACTAAATCCACAACATACAGTTGTGCATGTTGTTCCCCGACCAAGAGGCAACTAGAGGCTGAAATCCAGTTTGTGCTCTGCTCACTAAGCCATGCGCCCTGGCACAGTACAGCATCAACCCTGAGGAAGGAGCACTTTGTTCTAATTTCCACAAAGATACCCTATGGATTAGTGGTAGCCCTAGAGCTTATAATAGGCGGTGGTGGTAATAACAAAAAACTAATATTCTAAGATACAACTATTGGTCTCTATTCATCTGGAACAAAACAGAAAGAAGGAAACCCCAAGAATCAGAGAAGGAATCAGATGACAGGACTAATTGTCTCCATGAACCATAGCCTCCTCTACACTGAAACCAGAAGAACTAGATGATGCCCAGCTACCACTATCAAACATTCTCATCAGGGTCACCATAGATGACTCCTAATAGAAAGGGAGAAAAACGTGGAACAGAACTTCAAATTCTCAGAGAATCTAGACCCATTGAGACTGGAGGAATTCCTGAGATTATTGCCCTGAGATACTCTTTACACCCTGAACCAAAACTATCCCCTGAAGTCACCTTTTAACTAAATAGCAGGTTAGCTCCAAAAGTAAAGAATGTCACCCTTGAGTACTGCAGTCTTTAAAAAAATTATCTATATGAGACCAAATGGACAACAATTACTCTAAAGCATAGAAGAGAAAGTTGGCAGGAGTGAGACTAAGTTAATGGGAATGGAATAACTAGAATGAAAATAACGAGAATGATGAAACAATGTGAAGAATGTAACCAGTGTCACTGAACATTATGTGTAGAAATTGTTGAATGTGAACCTGTTTTGCTGGGTATACTTTCACCAAAAACACAATAAAATACTTAAAAACAAAAAAAGCTCATATTTATTGGGCACTTAGTATGTGCCAGGAGTCCCTGGGTAGTGCAAATGGTTAAACAGACTTGGCTGCTAACCGTAGAGATTTGAGTCATTTGTGGGATTATTATTTTCATCATTTTCTGTCTGTCATTCATTGTTTCCACTAGAACATAAGTTCCACAAGTCAAGACTATGTCAGCCTTGTTCATCGCTTTTATCCCCAGTGCCTGGCATAGAGCCTGGTACATGGTAGGTATCCACCACGTATTTACTAAGTGAGGAAGGAAAGGAAAGGATGGAAGGTGACGGCGTTGAGGGAAGCAAGCGAGGGTAGAGAAAGCAGGACAGGATGCAAGCAGTGGGCAGACGGGAAGAAGAGGCTTACCTGAAAGGGCACATCAGCCATGGTCTTGGCCAGGTAATATGCTTTGAGGCTGTACCAGTAGTTGAGGTGCTCCCTCACGAAGACTGCCATCTCTAAGGGGACTGAGGAGACAGACAGATTTAGGCACCGCTGCCCGACACCTCGGCCCCCACCCCATGCCCCATGCCCAGGGCAGCTCAGCTCACACGTGAGCACAGTTGGCATGAGGGCAGCGAACATGAGGAAGAGCATGGAGAAGAAGAGGCAGCCGGTGTTGTTGAAGACCTTGCTGGCATCATCACCGATGTGCAGGTAGAGGAGGCCAATAAGCACACCAATCACCACATGGGACATGAACCGCAGGTGGGTCAGGACCTGTGGGAGGGGGGCACCATCATGAGGGTGGAGAAGGGGAGAAGCAGGATGAGCCACAGGCCAGGGGTCGGCAGGTTGCGGGGCAGCCCACGCTGGGGCAGGAACTTGGAGCTGCCCTCACAGACTCATACACCCCATTAGGGGGCCGCTGGAGGAGAGACCCCACTCCCATTCTAGCTGCTAGGATCCTAGGCCCCAAAAGATCTGGCCTCCTCTCCCCCAACTTGACACCTCACCGTGTCCCTGAGGATGCACAAGAAGGTCCTCTTGAAGAGGATGCAGAACTGCGTGAGAGTGCTGGTGGCAAAGGTGTGGCTTTCAATGGGATCCACTTCCTGGGTGAGAGAAATCGGGTCAGGTGAGCCTGCCCACTGCCATTGCCCATCCAGCTCAGTGAATGGGAAAACCCCTGAGCTTCTCCCCAGGGCAGGGGTCTTCCAGGTGGACAGGAGAATTCACCATTGAGCTCTGTACCTGGAGGCTGTATTTGGGGGTGTGAATCAGAGTGAGATTCAGAGAGAAATACATGGAGGGGGTAAAGCCTTGGGAGAGAGGAGGAAAGGGAGTCAAGGACACCCATCAGTCACTTCTTTTTTTTTTTCATTGTGCTTTAGGTAAAAGTTTACAGCTTAATTTCTCATACAAACATTTATACACACATTATGTGACATCAGTTACAATCCCTATAATGTGACAACACACTCCTCCTTTCCACCCCAGGTTTCCCATGTCCATTCATCTCTTCTATTCTTTAATCCGTTGAAAAATATTCACCCTAAGGTTATAATTTCTTTACGCCCCCAGTTTCATAATAATATTATTTAACGATAATATTGACAATAATAGCAACAACTAACCCTCCCAGTTCTCAAGGGCTACAGCATCTCATTTAAGGATGAGAGCTAGAACTGAACAAACAAACGCCTGCTGTACCAGGTACAGGGCAAAGAGCTTGGCGAGATTATCTAATTAGTTCTCCCCATGACCCTGTGAGGTAAGTGTCCTTACCTCCAGGTTGGAGAGGACAGTAAGCCACATTGGCCCCGAGGCCAGAGACAAAGTCTTTCTTACCAGACAGGCACTGTGCTGATACTGAGAACACACTATAGATGCTCAATAAGAATTTGCCGAATGAATAAATAAATGGAAAACTGAGGCTAAAAAAGGTTAAGTAACTTGCCCAAGGTCACATAGTTGTTAACAGTAGGTCTATTCCAAGTCCAAGCACTGGTGGCACAAGGGTTAAGCGCTCGGCTACTAAGAGAAACCTTGGCAGTTCGAGCCCAGCCAGGAGCTTTGTGGGAGAAAGACCTGGCAATCTGCTCCCATAAAGATTACAGCCTAGAAAACAACCCTATGGGGCAGTTCTGCTCTGTCACATGGGGTCGCTATAAGTCTGAATCAACTTGTCGGCACCCAACAACATTCCAAGTCCCGTGCTCTTCTTAGTATCCAATGGTTGCGATACCTCTGGGAGCAGCCTCTTTGCCAGGGCCATTTTCCTCGGTCCCTTCTCCCCTGCCCACTTTGCCCTCTCCACCCCTACTCACCTGAGAGCAAGGGGGGCAGGTGGCGGAGACCTCATTCTTCTCGGGGCTGCTCTTCTTCTCAGCCATGGCACAGAGCCCATTCTGCACTGCCCTGAACAGCATGGGGTTCAGGTCTCCATACTCGCCAGAGGCCACCTCGATGACTGGGGGACATAGAGGGGAGTGCTCAGCTAAGATCCACCCTCACTTCCTGGGGGCAAGCCAGCCCCTCCCCTCCTTGAATGTGTAGGGAAGGCAAGTGACAGTGAGATCTCTATCCCCAGGTTTGGCCCACCGCTGCCATATCCCAGTCCTTCCCCCAGGTCCCTACTCACTAAAGTCAGCCGGGTTGTGGTAGGTGGGGCAGTGTAAGCCCTGCCCCTTCAGATAGGGGATCAGGTTGGTGACCATGCCCTTGAAGATGCACTGACCCTGGCTCAAGATGTAGAGCTGAGGTGGAAAGAGAAGGCTGAGCAAAACATGACCAGCATGCCAGACCAGACCCCACAATACCGCTACAACCCGTTGCCTCTCCCCACCTCAGGCCAATCTTCTTTGAGGCCTGGAGACACTCACCTTGTCAAACATCTCAAAGAGCTTGGCACTGGGCTGGTGGATGGTGCAGATGATGGTACGGCCCCCCTGGGCCAGGGACTTCATGAGGGATACCACTTGGAAACAGGAGGCGCTATCCAGACCACTGTCCAGAGAGAGGCCACCAGGGAGCTAGGTGAGGTGGGTGGGGCCAAGAGAAGGGGGTGTTTAGGGCAGAGCAGCTGCTCTAAAGGGAATGGAGCTGGCAAGAAGGGGTGACTCTGGCCACCTTCATATCCTGTGCACCCTGTAGGGTTCAGTCATTTGGAGGTCGAGAAGCCCAGAGCACTGTTCACTTTGGTAAGCATATACTGAGCGCCTGTAGTATGCCAAGCACTGGGATTACAATGACGAATAAATAAGACGTAGATTCTGGTCTAGAAGGAGAAATAGACGAGTGCACAGATCATTTTAGACCATGTGGAAGTGATGTAGAAACATGGGGTGAGGAAGAGGGGAAGGCTTTAGCTTTGCTGTACAAGGGTGTTGGAGGGTAGTCAGAGGTTTCCTGAGGGAGCCTGGAAGAAGTAAAAGTTAAGCCAGGTGATAAGGGTGATGGCTGAACAACAGGATGATCATAATTAATGTCACCGAACTGTACATGTGAAGACTGTGGAAGTGCCAAATGTTTTATTACCTATATATTTACTACAACTAAAAAAAGATGCAGAAGAAAAAAAAAAAAAAAAGGAGTTAAGCCAGGTGAAGGAGGTGGAAGGGGAGGTGCGCTGGTGAAGGGCATTCCCGGCAGAAGACACAGCATGTGCAAAGCTTAGAGGCATGAAACACATGGTTTGACTAGGGAATTATAAGCAACTCAATATTATTAGAGCATAAAATACAAGACAGGGTGAAGCAAGACCTGAGGCTGGAGAAGTAGGCTGGGACCAAGACCTTGTATGTCATCTGACTTTATTCTGAGGGCAAACGATTGTGCGTTTTTAAGCAAGGGGAGTGAGTATCGCCAGATCACTCTGGCTCAAGTTTGGGGGAAGGATCGGCTGGGAGAGACAGGAGGTGAGGAGACAGGAGTCTGTTGCAGAATGCAGGCAAGAGCTGATGATGTACTGAGCTGAAGTGCTGGCTCTGAGGACAGGGGCAGGGGTAAATCCGAGAGCTATCTAAAGGAGGTGGAAGCAGCAGGCCTCAGTGACTGATTGGCTGTGGAGGAGAGAAGGAGAGGAAGGCATCGAGGAGGACAACTGGATTTCTGCCTGGGTGAAGGATGGGGCTGTTCACAGCGACAGGATATGCCAGGTAGGGCAGGATTGGCAGGGATGGAAATGAGGAGCAAAGCCTTTATTTTGGCCCAGAAGGCTGCAAATAGAGGCTCTGGTCTCCAGCAGCAATGGCAAAGATGTGGCCTCCTCCAGCCCCAGGCTAGCAGAGGGAGGAATTCTGGTGGGAAAAGAGGGGAGAACTACCTGGTGGGCTCGTCAAAGAACATGACAGGTGGGTTGTTGACCAGCTCCAGAGCGATGGCCAGGCGCTTCCTCTGCCCGCCGGAGAGCAGGGCTGTCCTCGTGTGGGAGCAGGACATCAGGCCCAGTGCCGTCAGGATCTCTGTCACCTGGCCAGCCCCCCCACCCACCCCAGGTCAGCTTCACAGTCTCTGCTTCCTCCGGGCATCACCCAATTTAAAACCGCATCTCCCTTAAGTCCACTGTCCCAGCCTTGGCCACCACTCTCCCACCCTCCAACTCGGGGCCCCAGAACTCAGTAGCACCAATAGGGGAAGCTGTCCCATTCCCTCCCCTCCTCACTTACCAGTTCCTTCTTCACCTCTTGCTTCTCACTCAGCTTCAGGTTAGCAGAGACCTGGAGCCCAGAGGGTAGGCTAGTCAGGTATGTGTGGGAGGGGGCGCTGCCTTGACCCCTCGGCCAATGAGGAGGATGGGCACGGCAGATAGCAGGGTGGGGGTGGGTGGGAAGAGAGGATGGCCATCTAGGCCTCACCATCATGGCTTCCAACACTGTGAGGTGTGGCAGTAGCATGTCATCCTGCATGATGTAACAGGACATCTTGCGGAATGTTCTCAGTTCCCGCGGTCTTCCATTGACCAGGATCTGCCCCTTCATACCAGACTCCCTGCAGGAGCATTGGTTGAGAATGAGCATTGGCCACACCTACTTCAGGCCCCCTTACCTGCTCCCCAGGGGATCCTTCTTCCTGGGCCCTGCCCCCTATCCCACCCCAGCCTTCTTCTCACCTGTACCCTGCCAAGATGTTCATGAACGTGGACTTGCCAGCCCCCGAGGGGCCCATGATGCCAATCAGCTCCCGGCGGCAGAATTTGCCTGACAGGCACTTGAGGAGAGTCTTATAACCTGTAGCGTGTGAGGGAGGAACTTTTCACCAGGGCTATAGTGAACAAAGTCACCCCAAAACTCTTAGGAGCAGCTGTGGCCATCAGTGAAATAGGCAGTCCCTACTCAGTATGATTTGGTTGGGATGGAGAAGCCACCCTCAGAGCCCCAGCAGTACCCCACATCCTCTTATCCTATCCCTCTAAAAATGATCACCACTAATGTCAAAGTACCAGAGGCAACAATCCTCTCCTGAAGGCCTTAGAAAAACCAAACATCTCATAGATGGGTGTGAAGAGCAGATCACAATTACAGAAGACCCTGCTTGTCTTCCATAAACACAGTAGCCACTCTTGCACGGCCTCCAAGAAGACTGATGGCGCTAACTCTCCTCTGTGCTTCCATAGCATTTTTCATATGCCAGCTTGTGTGTGTTCATTACTTGATGTGCCTGTCACTCACCTCCCTCCCCCAGCCTCTTAGTCAATGAGTTCCTTGGGGGCAGGTTCTGTGTTTTACTCATCTTTTAACCTCAGCAGACTGCCTGGCATGTAGTAGATGCTCAATAAGTGTTTGTTCTAGGAATGTGTGTTCCTAGAGTTTCTGCCTCATTCTGAAAAAAGTCTGCTTACTCTGTGCTCTCTCTGCCCACCAGGCTTGTCTCTCCGGCCCCTAACATGGCCCAATAAAATCTCACCTTTCATTCATTCATTGGGAGACAGCATATGCATAAAAAATACCAATAAGAAGCCAGGTGGATCTGGGTTCAAATCCTGGCTCCACACTTACCAGCTATGTGACCTCAGGTAAGTTGCTTAACCTCTCTGAGCTTCAAGTCCCTCATCTGTAAAACGAGGATGATAGTACCTATCTCATAGGGTTGTTAAAAAGATTCAATGAGATGATATATATAAAGCGTATGACACAATGCTTGGCACGTAGAATGCATTATAAGTGGCATTTTACTACTAATTACACTTGACAGATGCTTATCGACGTCTGCTATATGCCTATATACCAAGCTCCGTGCTAGACACTAGGCCCAAAAAAAATAAAATAAAATAAGGCAGACACAGTTTCTGAATTCTTGTACCCAGAAGGTCATAGTCTAGTCAAGAAAGATAGACAAGAAAACATCTATGACCTGAGGAAAAATAAAGTATGGTTTATAACAGAAGTATAATGTGCTATGAGAATGCAAAAAATGAAACCAACAGTGGAGCGGGAAGGCAAAGGGAAAGTCAGGAATGGCTTCATGGAAGAGGGAGCATTTGAGCTAACTCTTGAAGGATGAGCAGGATTTCAAATGGCAGAGGCCCTCCAGGCCTTGGGAGGAAAAGCTCTGCTGTTGTACAAGTGTATATATAGCGCAACCTACGGAACAGAGGGCAGAGACCAGCTGGAGTTACCTGGTGGGATATGGGGGTGGAGAGGAAGGATGAAGCCAGTAAGGATGGCCTTGAATGCTGTGCTTGCAGACCTGCCTCAGGTGGGGAGGAGACACCAATCCCCCAACCCTAACAATTTCCTTTCTACCACCTTTCTCTGACCCCCACAGAACCCAATTCCCTCTCCACTCTACCTCCTTAGTGGAGACAGTGAATGGATGCCACCTTTAACCTCCCTTCAGGCATCCAGGACTGGGCTCTGAACCCAACTGTCCCTCTGCACATATATATATAGCTGTGTTCTATAGGTGCGAGGTCCACTGTTCCATCCTGATCAAACCAAGTGTCTGGATGGCACTTTACAGTTTACAAAGCTCATTACCTCAGTTGCTCCTGTAACAACACAGGTGAGGCAACTGGGGCCCAGTGACATCCGGTGACTCAAACAAGGTCATACAGCAAGTTTTTACAGGGAGAGGGAACTCATATGTTCCAACCCTCTGCCTCAGTCATCATTACCATCAATCAGAAAGACATCTGGGTGTACACTCCAGCATACGCCTTTCAGAGCCACTCACAGGAAGTGATTTCTTTTGTAGGGTAAGAAATCGGCAGTGATGAACCTTCCCCTCATGTAATCACAGCCAAGCACTGGATTGAACATGGATACCTAATACAAATATCATCTTACACTTGCCTTTCACAAAGAACTTCCACAGATATTATTTCAGCTGAGCTTCGTAACAAGCCTGTGCAGTAGGTATTCTGATCATCCCTGTTTACAGACGAGGAAAGTTAGGCCAAGAGAGGGTAACCAGGCTGCCCAAAGTCACACAGCTTATAATTGGCTAGGAATCCAAGTGCTCAGCCTGGAAGGGGCCCTGCCAAGCCTTCAGGCTGAAAAGACACCAGTCCAGGAACAAACCACTTAGACTTTTCACCCCAGAAACAGCAAGTTATCTCCTTTCTCTAAAGCAAAGACTTTTAACCAAAGGTCTGTGGCCCCATAGGAGATCAGAGGGTCCAGCTGCTTCTGGAAATGATGTGCAAAATGTCAGGTATGGGTGTGCAATCTTCTGGGGAGAGGACTGTGGTTTTTGGCAGATTCTCAAAGGAGTCTATGACTCCAGAAAAGTTTAAGAGCCATTACTATAAAGTAAAAGTTGAAGGTCCTCTCTTTGCCTCCCACAGGAGGAGACCAAGCAACACGCTCATCATTCTATACCAGTGCTATAATCAAAAGGTCACAAGATCGGAGTTCTAGTCCTGCCTTGGTCAATAACTCTGCAATTTTGTCAGGTCACTTAATTTTCCAGGGCCTCCGTTTCCTCGTCTGTAAAATAAGGATATTAACGTCTCCTCCCAAGGACTTAATAGGTTTATTGTGAATACTAAATGAGATAATGAATAATAATTAATAGAAAAGTGTTTTGAAAAATGTGAAATGCCATATATATAGGATCATTATGAGTCTGAATTGACTCAACAGAATAGGTTTGGGATGACAAATCCTTACCTAGGAAAAGTAGAAATCTCCCTCTCTGCACACCCCTTGCCCTGTTTGCTCTCTGCCTACCCTTAATTGCTCATCCTCTAGAAAAGGGGAGAGGGATTCAAGGGAACAGAGAAGTTAGAGAGATAAGGACAGAGGGCAGCGGAAGGGGCAAGGGATGGAAGAGATGGCAAAAATGGACAGTAGAGTGAAATGGGGCTGGCAAAATCAAAAGGAGAGAAAGACGAGGTCATAGGTACCAATTTGTGGCCATTGAGTTGAAGAAACCAGAGAGCTGACCCACCTATCCATGTTTCTTTTTTATCTTCATTTCCCCTTAAAACTGTGAGGAAATGAGGAGGCTAAGGAAATAACAGCTACCACAATCATTTTGCCCAGAGCTGGTCTTAGGGCTGAGAAAGTCTGCTTAGGGCTAGAATACTGCGCAGAGAGCCTAGATGCCTCAGTTTCTATTGGCTCAGGCCTTGGGACCTCTTGGCCCCTCATCAGAGTGAGGGTGGGGAGTGCAAGAGACAGCTCATGCTCAGCCCTGTTCTGAAGCACCCCAAACCTTAAATCTCAGAGGACAATGTCCCAGCTCCACCCATGGCCCACACTCAGGCTCTAGGAAGCAAACCCAGCTTCCCCATCCCCTGCTCAAGTTGCCCAAGGCAAGGAATGCAGGAGATGGTCAGGGTTCAGGGGAACACAGAGCCCCCTGGCCCTACGCAGACTTCCGGGGAGGGGAGACAGGGGGCGGGGGGACAGGCAGAGGAGACAGAATGTTGTACCAGCAATCTTAACTAAGAGAGGAATAAGAACAGCACATGGAGAGCCAGGAAACCTGGCTTCTGATCTCAGCTCTACCACTTATTAGCTGTGTGATATCAGTTAAGTTACTCAACTTCCTTGGGCCTCAGTTTCCTTATTAGTAACGTGGGGATGACATCTATCCTGCCAAACCTCCACCCTGCCTGCTTCAGAGGACCGTGGCAAGAATGAAGTAAGATGACAGGAATGAGAACGACTTCAAAAAATTAAGTGTTATCCTCCACTGGTCTCACCCCTTCAGGAGCAAGGGAGAATGAAGACAACAAGATACAAGGGAAAGATCAGTCCAAAGGACTAATGGACCACAATTACCACAGCCTCCACCAGACTGAGCCCAGGACAACTACATGGTGCCCAGCTACCACCGCCGACTGCTCTGAAAAGGATCACAATAGAGGGTCCCGGACAGAGCTGGAGAAGAATGGAGAACAAAACTCTAACTCACAAAAAAAGACCAGATCTACTGGCCTGGCAGAGACTGGAGTAACCCCGAGCATATGGCCTCCGGACACCCTCTTAGCTTAGTAATGAAGTCACTCCCAAGGCTCACTATTCAGTCAAAGATTAGACAGCCCCATAAAACAAAACGAGACTAATGGGACACAACAGTCCAGGGACAAGGACTAGCAGGCAGGAGGGGACAGGAAAGCTGGTAATAGGGAACTCAAGGTTGAGAAGGGACAGTGTTGACATGTCATGGGGTTGTTAACCTTTGTCATAAAACAATATGTGTACTGTTTAATGAGAAACTATTCTGTAAATCTTCCTCTAAAGTACAATAAAAAATTAAGTGTTCTATGGGTACACCAAAGAGAACTCCCCTCCCTGAAGACACAGCTCCACCCACCACTTTCTCATCCCAGCCCTCAAAGGCAGGAATCCTGTGTAAAATAAGAAAGGAAGCTCATCAAGGACCAGAGGTCTTAGTGTCTATTTAGAAGAGGAAAGCTTCAATAATCAATTGAACCCAGTGCCCCACAGTGCTGGCCCCTCAACTGAGGGGGAGCACAAACTCTGACACCTCCACTGTGTCCACAGTGAGTGAGGGTCTGAGGCACAGATTTCAAGGTCCCACAGGGCCCACTGACGTGGGACTTGCAGAAAAGGGGCCACCCCCGCCTCAAGTTTCAGGAGAGGCAACCCAGCCGGCCCCCAGCTCCCCACCAGGCAGTTCCCTACCCCGTTTGCGCCAGCAAGGCCCCTCCCGCACGGAGTAGGACAGCTCCACGAACTCTATGTCTACGGCTGAGCGCTTGGGTAGGTGGGAGAAGCGCTGGGCTTCGGTGATGTGATTCTCCACCTTCTTCAGGTGCGTGGTCAGCACAGGGGGCTCCGCGCCGTCCTCCAGCACCACGGCCATGGCCACGGCCCCCGGTCCTAGTCCACAGCCCACGGCCTCCAGCGCCTTCTCCGCCATCACGCCGCAGGCCTGCTTGGAGAGGGCCTGCTCAGTTCAGGGCAGACCACAAGCCCCGGCTCAAAGCGCCTTTGCTTTCTAAAGCTGCCCCCACCAACCCCCCTCCCCAATTGCCCGCCTGCTACTCAGGCCAGATCCGCGGCTGTCAGTACCCTACTCCCCGCCGCCGGGGCAACACCCCTCAAGTCCCACTCCCCGTGCAGCCACGCTCAGTCCCGACCTCTCCTCCGCCCCAGGCAGCCCCAGCCCAGCCCCAGCCCGGTTCCTAGAAGCCCTCACCCGCTGCGTCCTCCCTGCGCTGGCTCTAATCTCCTTACCCCGCAGGCCAGCAGACCCTGGGGACTGGATGGCTGAGTGGGTGGGTGGAAAGGGCCAGCCGGCGGAGGCTGCCCGCTAGGAGGTCAGGATAACAGGGTGAGCGCAGAGTGGACGAGGGGAAGGCGGAGGAAGAGGAGGCTCCGGGCCTCCCGCTGCGTCCAGCTTTCCCCATCCCTGGGCGCGACGCCCTGACCGCTCCCACCCGCCGGCGCCCCTGGGCCCGCGAACCCTGGGCTCTCCGCAAAGACAAGCGCATCCAAACCCCACTCTCAGCTAAGCACCCCCTACGGCAGGCCGAACCTCCCATCTCCCGCATGCGTAGTCACCTTGACGCGCCCCCGGGCCGGTGCGGGGCCGAGCTGCTGAGCGCTGCCACGGGCCGCGGATGGAGGCTCCCGGCTCTTCTCACCTGCCTGGGGCTGCGGCACCCGCTCCCGGCTCCCTGTCCCGGCGGCCGGGGCCGGGGCGGGGCCAGGGCGGGGCAGGCGGAGGGGAGGACCTCGGCCACGAGTCAGAAGGGATAACAAGGTTGGGGAGAGGCGGTTGGGTGCGCGCCCCGACTCTGCTTGGATGCGCACACCCGGTTCCCGGAGCTCGGTCCTCGGCGGTGTGTCCTCCCGAGCCCGCCGGACGACTGCGCTCTCCTCCAAGCCTCTGCTCGCCGGTCCCGCTGCTCTTAAAGGGCCCGCGCCGCCGCGCCCCCGCTGGAGGCGAGGATGGCTAAGAGGAGAACAGCGCCCGCGACGCGGCGGGTAGAGGGGACTCGGTTGTGGATCCTGGAATGGGGGTTGGCGGCGAAGGGCTGACTTGGGGAGGCAGGGAGGAGGAGAGCTGGAGTCACTCAGTGCGGACGGGTCCCTAGATTACACACTAGACAATGGTGGCTGTGGTGGGAAGGTGGGATGCAGATTCCTTCACTCTCAGGAGACTGCAAAGCTGTCAGCCTGTCTGCCTCACCCCCAATGAATTTCCCTCAGTTCTGGCCCTTGAGCTCAGGCCTCCCCGCAGGTATCCTCAAACTAGGTTAAAAAAAAAAAAAAAAGGTTTGAAAGCAAGGTCTTGGGACCTTCTCCCCCTTCCCGTATATACACCTTTTCTCTTAGTCTCAGTTTTCGTATGTCTTTAAGGGCCAAGAGACTAGTTAAGAACGGAAAGAGGGTGGCAGCTTTGGGAGAGCTTGCAGGCAGCTCCAAGATTAAACTGGTAACCACAGCTCAGCTTGACCTGGCTGTGTTGTTGTTGTTAGGTGCCATTGAGTCGGTTCTGACTCATAGTGACTGTATGTGCAACAGAACGAAACAAACACTGCCCAGTCCTGTGCCATCGTCACAATCTTTGCTATATTTGAGCCCATTGTTGCAGTCACTGTGTCAATCCATCTCGTTGAAGGTCTTCCTCTTTTTGCGCTGACCCAAGCATGATGTCTTTGTCCAGGGACTGGTCCCTCCTGAGAACATGTCCAAAGTACATAAGACAAAGCCTTGCCATCCTGCCTTCTAAGGAGCATCCTGGCTGTACTTCTTTCAAGACAGATTTATTTGTTCTTCTGGCAGTCCATGGTGTATTCAATATTCCTTGCCAACACCATAGTTCAAAGGCATCAATTCTTCTTCGGTCTTCCTTATTCATTTTCCAGCTTTCGCGTGCACATGAGGGGATTGAAAAGACCATGACTTGGGTCAGGCGCACCTTAGTCCTCAAAGTGACATCTGGCTATAGAAGTCTTTATTTTACCAGCCAACTTTGGGCCTTCAGGACAGGCAATGCCACAACCAATGCCAAAAAACAATTTGTGCATAATTTTTGAATGAGAAACTTTCACCTAAAGCACAATAAAATTATTTTTTTAAAAAAAGATAGTCAATGCCTTTCTCACTCTTATGAAATGACAAAAATAGGTAAATATAGTACAGAGACTAATGTTCATTGGTGGTTACCATGGATGGGTGGAAGTATTATCTAGGTAGTAGTCACTTTTTGCTTATGGCGATGGGAAAGGTGACACCGAAAGCAGGTGAAGTTCGCACAGCTTGACTAATGTAATTGATGTCAGTAAGCTGTCCATAAGAAAAAAGGATGAGTTGGTAAATGCTATGTGTTAGGGATTGAATTGTGTCCCCCAAAAATATGTGTTGTAATTCCTAACGTCTATGCCTGTGGTCCACCACCCATCTGTTGGTTTGTTGTACTGTGGGGACTTGCGTGTTGCTGTGATGCTGGAAGCTATGTCACTGGTATTTCAAATACCAGCAGGGTCACCCATAGTGGACAGGTTTCAGCAGAGCTTCCAGCCTAATACAGACTAGGAAGAAGGACCTGGCGGTCTACTTCTGAAAAAATTGGCTAGTGAAAACCTTACGAATAGCAGCAGAACAATTGTCTGAGACAGTGCCAGAAGATGAGCCCCTCAGGTTGGAAGGCACTCAAAATACAATTAGGGAAGAGCTGCCTCCTCCAAGTAGAGTGGGCTTTAATGACATGGATGGAGTCAAGCTTTTGGGACCTTCATCTGCTGATGTGGCATGACTCAAAATGAGAAGATACAGCTGCAAACATCCACTAATAGTAGGAACATGGAATGTATGAAGTATAAATCTGGGAAAATTGGAAGTTGTCAAAAATGAAATGGAACATTTAAACATCAATGTCCTAGGCGCTACTGAGCTGAAATGGACTGGTATTGGCCACTTTGAATCAGACAATCATATGGTATACTATGCCGGGAATCACAAATTGAAGACGAATGGCATTGCATTCACTGTCAAAAAGAACATTTCAAGATCTATCCTGAAGTACAACACTGTCAGTAGTAGGATAATCTCCATACGCCTACAAGGAAGAGCAGTTAATACGACTATTATTCAAATTTACGCACCAACCACTAAAGCCAAAGATGAGGAAATCGAAGATTTTTACCAACTTCTGCAGTCTGAAATTGATCAAACCTGCAGTCAAGATGCATTGATAATTATTGGTGATTGGAATGTGCAAGTTGGAAACAAAGAAGAAGGATCGCTAGTTAGAAAATATGGACTAGGAGATAGATACGATGCTGGAGATCACATGATAGAATCTTGCAAGACCAATGACTTCTTCATTGCAAATACCTTTTTTCAAAAACATAAATGTTGGCTATACACGTGGACCTCGCCAGATGGAATACACAGGAATCAAATCAACTACATCTGTGGAAAGAGACAATGGAGAAGCTCAATATCATCAGTCAGAACAAAGCCAGGGGCCAACTGTGGAACAGACCATCAATTGCTCATATGCAAGTTCAAGTTGAAGCTGAAGAAAATTAGAGCAAGTCCACGAGAGCCAAAATATGACCTTGAATATATCTCACCTGAATTTTGAGACCATCTCAAGAAAACATTTGATGAGCTGAACACTAATGACCGAAGACCAGATGAGTTGTGGAATGACATCAAGGACATTATGCATGAAGAAAGCAAAAGGTCATTAAAAAACAGGAAAGAAAGACCAAAATGGATGTCAAAAGGGACTCTGAAACTTGCTCTTGAATCTAATACAGCTAAAGCAGAAGAAAGAAATGAGAAAGTAAAAGAGCTGAACAGACGATTTCAAAGGGCAGCTAAAGAAGACAAAGGAAAGTATCATAATGAAATGTACTAAGACGTGGAATTAGAAAACCAAAAGGGAAGAACACACACGGCATTTCTCAAGCTGAAAGAACTGAAGAGAAAATTCAAGCCTCGAGTTGCGATATTGAAGGATTCTCTGGGCAAAATACTGAATGATGCAAGAAGCATCAAAAGAAGACAGAAGGCCCTTCTCAGCCCAGGATTAGGTGTCTCGGTGCATCTGGCATGCTTTGTAAAGGAGCAAACCTCGGACAAGAAGTTTCGTTGGGAACTGTTTTCTTAAGAACGTCTTACAGCTATGTAGGCATCTTGACATTTCCATCAAAAATATAACTCTACACTTAGAGGGCAACACAAAGAAATTACTAGCTCAGTTTCTTTATAATCCAGTTGTCTAAATCAACCTGTAAAACATTGGATCCTCCCCAAATGTTTCATGCATAAGGAGGACAAATTATCCCTTAAATAGTATTATATGGGTGCAAAAAAAAAAAAAAAAAAAAAAGATGGAAGGAATACACAGAGTCTCTGTACCAAAAAGAATTGGTCGACGTTCAACCTTTTCAGGAGGTAGCATATGATCAAGAACCAATGGTACTGAAGGGAGATGTCCAAGCTGCACTGAAGGCATTGGCAAAAAACAAGGCTCCAGGAATTGACAGAAATACCGATTGAGACATTTCAATAAATGGATGCAGTGCTGGAGGCACTCACCTATCTATGCCAAGAAATTTGGAAGACAGCTACCTGGCCAAGCGACTAGAAGAGATCCATATTTGTGCCCATTCTAAAGAAAGGTGAATCAACAGAATGCAGAAATTATTGAACAATATCATTAATATCACAGCAAGTAAAATTTCGCTGAAGATAATTCAAAAGCAGTTGCAGCAGTACATCGACAGGAACTGCTAGAAATTCAAGCCGGATTCAGAACAGGATGTGGAACAAGGGATATCTTTGCTGATGTCAGATGGATCATGGCTGAAAGCAGAGAATACCAGAAAGACGTTTACTTGTGTTTTATTGACTGTGCGAAGGCCACACACAGGGCTCACAAACACTGCCTTGCCATCTCATACGTATGTGCATTGTCACCTTCACTCACTTCAAATTTAGATCCCCGAGCACCCTTGGGACTTTCCCCTGCTCTGCCCACTTCTTGGGCAATTCTTCTTGGCTGCTGCTGGCCCCAGTCTCTCTGTCTTCAAGGGGTTAAGTAGGTTAGCCAATCAAGACATGAGACACGTGACCTGAGTGTTTAAGCTCCCACCTGTTACCCAGCAGAGATGAGTGGGAGAGGAGGCTGCTGCTGCTACAGATTAGGCTTCTCCTTAGTGCACAGTCAGAGGTTACTAGCAGTCAAATCTCTCCCTCGAAGGCCCCCCCACGGTCTCTCCACAGCCTTAGTGGCTGGCAGCCCCTGCAGGACATCTACAACTCCTACCCTGTAACTGTGAGGTTTATGTGGCTTTGGGATCTAGCCTTCCCTACCTTCCCGCCAACTCCATGCCCTGCACCATTCCTCAGGACCAACCTTCCCATTCTCCCAGAATGGAAATGGACCTTCCATTCTCCAAGACAGCCTTCGATGCTCTACTATAGACTCTCCACCCACCAACAGTTGCATTTATTGAGCAACTATTATGTAGCAAGCATTATCTCATTTAATTCTCGCATGAGGCAGGTTTTTATTATCTCCTTTTTAAAGATGATGAAACTGAGGCCTAGGGAGGTTAAGCAATATGCCAAAGGGAACACATCTAGTGGTGGTAGAGCAGGGCTTCAACCCCAAAGTCCCTGCTGTTATTCACTCTGCTATTGGACCTCTCAGAACTCGATTTCCACATAGACTGTCTTCCTCCATTTTTTCAGCAAGCTCTTTATTCTCCTGAGAGATAACCCTCATCTTTTAAAGCCACCACTGCCTCCCCCCCTCCATTCCCTGGCACATAACTTTTCAATTCCTAAGAAAGGGGAGGAAACTTTCTTAGAAATACACTGTCCCCATTCCATAGGACAAACCTCCCCATCT